AAAAAAACTTCATACCCAGCTGTTAAGCCTATGACAGCACATCCATAAAATGTCCCAAAATATTTGATAAATTCCCGTGTCCACGCAATCTGCATGGCTGTTTGTCTCACTCTCATCTCGTTCTGCATCAGTAGTTGCCTTTCCAACTAAAGAAGGGAGAGAGGTTAAAAAAATGTAATCATTCACTTATTTTAAAGACTGAGTCAATCTGTCACTGGTATATAAATCCCAAACACTAATTGAGAAGGTGTCTTTTTTGTTCTTTTTATTTCAGTATTTACTTTTGACTGAGAATGGTCTTCTTCAGTAATAACTCAGAATAATTTATACCAAGAAAGCATTTAGGTCAATTAGAAAATTATTTAATGCAGAATCCTTCCAATGCTCCTTCTCAAGATCAAGAAAGCCAAAACACCAGTGTTAGGTTTTGAGAGCTCCCCAAGTCTCTGCAGCACTCCCTAGGTTAAGGTTTTCCAACCTTTGCATTTCCATGGTGATCCAAAGAGCACCATCTAGCTGCTTTCCAATTTATCCTGCTTGACTTTCATTTAGCCGATAGTGTCTTTAAAGGCAATCTTGACACCTCTTTGCCCTTTGAGGATTTCTCTTCTTTGTGATCCATCATTAAGCTAATTACACTTTTGAAACACCATAGTTTACAAATATACGAAAAACACTGTTAAGATATCAGATCTTTTAAAGATACTGGAATATATATCCATGAGAAAATACTTCTGTAACTAAAATAATGCAGAAAGTACAATCTAGATAGCATATTTACACATCAAAGTAGAACTTTGGTGCATAAGAATAAAAAGCAGACTATTAGATTCTTTTTTTTTTCATTACATCCCCCATCTAAACATACTGGTATATTTCCATTAAATAAAGGTAAATTTAGTGCTTCTTAAAAGTTTCTCTCTACTGTAGAGAGCACCTAAAAGAACAATGGTCTCTCCTCCTTAGAGTGATGCAAAAAATAAGAATTGTTCCAAAAATAAGCAGCCTGAAACCAGAGTACAGAAGTTAGTTAACACAACTAGAAGTCTCCTTCTTCACAGTAATGTCTGAAACTAGTAATTTTTTTTGAAAAAACATAGTACGCAAGTTGGTATGTCTAGCCTAGCTAACCAAGTTGCATAAGATGTCCAACAAGGTACAGGAAACAGAATACCAACTGCCTAAAAATGTGTATTCTAGAAAAGAAAGAACAAAGAGAGAAGTCAGAAAGTTCTCTTCTTATGCATCTATAAAAGTAATTAAATCTGTTCTTTTCTCCTGTGTTCTAATTCAAGAATAATTTAAAGGATTTTGAATTACTTGAGGTTGCCACCCATTTATTAATCTCCATTACTATTGATTTAGCCTGAACAGAACAATTTCTATTAAATTGTTAGTAATTATTTCTTCAGACTGTGTTGATCTTGCTTTCTTATTTAGATGCTCATTCAGTGCCTAGATAGGTAGAATTAATTTTTTAGGCAGCATAATAAAAATAGGACAAATCTAATTACATATAATTGTACACAGTAGGGAAAACAACATTCACTGTAGTCTCACAATACTGTTTCATCTGTTTCTTTTTCCTCAAGACTTACATTGCAATTGTTGTTCTCACAAAAAGTATCAACAGGCTCTACCTTCCTGATATCCATAATTTTCAGATCACTTTTTCTCAGAAGTTATTATATAATGGCTGACAAACCACTTAATCAAATATCAAAATAATTAGATTTTATTTTGTCACCTATGCGACACTTGGAAATTCATAAGTAAACAAGCACACTGTCTGTTAATTAGCCCCATTGTGGTCCTGAATATCCTTAGCCTGGTAAATTGCTGAGGGTTGATATGACAAGAAAAAATAATGTCATGTAATATCAGTTTAATGGCCTCTATTTTCCCCTTTGATTTGTTTATATGTGTAGTTTGCACACATGTGAAAAGTTTTAAGGGAAGCTTTGTCTGTCTGTTAACACAGATAAGGAGCCTACACTTCCACAATGCACTGTATTACCATAAATAAGCTTCAATTTGAAGAAGCACATGAGGAGAATGTGGGAGAAAAATAAACTTGCTAAAAGGAAATTTAATGGAGAAGAAGAAAGCAGACAGTTTAATATGCATGAAGCGTGGAAGGAAGTAAGCATGGAATAAAAAGAAAGCTGTATGTTTAAGTCTACAAGAGTAAACTAAAGGATCCTAATGTGATTTTTAAAAACCAAGACAAAAAAACCCAGCAAAAAATTCCTCACACAAGTTATACTTTGATAGCTCTTTGAAACTCAAGTACTGAAAGAAAAAGATATTACTAAGTCACAGACACTAAGGTCAAACAAACATCTTTTAGTAGGAGACTGTTGTCTCAAATTTCAGATGCCCAAGGATACTTTCATGTATATCTACAAGTAATTTATATAAATAATCTAATATAAATTAGAACAACTTGTTTTGTATATTATAAACAGCAGCCAGATAACATAATCAAACCTTTTTTCATATTCTTTTCTAACCAGAAGAATCCCTTTTTTCCCCACTTAAAAAAAAAAAATCAACCCGCAACTTTCTACATGGAACCCCATCCAAAAGTAAGAGAGGGAAGAAACCACAAAAAATGCTAGTAATTCCTTTCCTTTCAGTGAACTTCTTCAATGTGAATGTAAAATCTTACCTAGATTAAACACAATTCTGTATTTAAATTAATTTCTTTAAAAAAAATGTGTTGGAGAGACTGATGAATCTTAAGAGATGTATGTTCTATGCGTACATAGGGAAATGTGGCATAGCCAGGAAGAAAAGGTTTCAGAGAAATCTCAATGCACTGAAGGCACTAAAAGTAGATCTAATGACATTTAGCCAAATTAATAAATAATTCTTGCTATTACTGAAGTTGCATGATGCTACAATGAACAGTTTAGTATACAAGATCTATTTTGCCCATAAACTTACATGGTAGCATCAAGAAAGCACTGAGATGTTTTTAGGGATGGTAAGTAACCTACAGTACTGCTGCAGAGGTTTGTTTTTAAATCTATTTTTATTTAGTCATAAGTTATACGGAGAAAATCTGGTAACAATGCACAAACATCACTAAATATGCTCCAAAATCTCTCTGAACCTATGCAATCTCATGCCAAACCCAGGAATACCTCTCCCAAATGCCAGAAATGCCCTTTTTTCTGTCCTCCTTTATTCTGGGGGAAAAAAAAAAAAAAAAAAAAAAAATCAATCTTCATTCTTGTTTTCCATTTCCAAGTTTTGTCACTTGGCATAGTTTCATCTTGGCAAAATAAAAGACTACAGTAGCTGTCGGACTGTGATTGGGATCTGCATAATGAAGAGATTGGATTTCAAGCTTGCCTTAAGGAAAGGGAAAACTCAGGAACAGTTATGGCCAAAGATGTCCCAGAACATACTGTTTCATCACACAACTTAAATTTGCTGGAATTAGTGTAGAAAAAAACAGTTCGGAGTACACCTAAGCTCTTTCCAGAGAGCACCATAGCCACTGCACTGCTGAATGGTGTGGGTATGTCCTTGCTGCCACATTCCATGTGTGGGGTACAGCAACGCGTGTTCAGCACAGCAGGGAACGTCTCCCCTGCAGACTCTGTCAGAGCAGATACAAGGCAGGGCACCTACTTATCCTGTGTCAGCAAAGACATTTAACATGTCCAGACCCAATATCTGGTCAGCTATGCAGGTTTATAAGCAATATGTCAGGTTTGACACTGAAAGAGTATATCCATTTAAATTAATTTTGGATGCAAAAAGTTGCGAAATCAAGCACCGACGTGGGCACTCAAGCAACTCCTATATACCTCAATATTTCAAAATGTCAAAAACTTCAGAGGCAATATCCTTGTGCTTTTCCATTTAACATGCCAATCTGAACTGATCATCTTGAGCTCTGCCAGTTTTGAATGACCAGGATAGTCTGATATGCTGACTTTACAATGGCAAACAACTATTGGTAGATCATAAGGTGAAACTATAGCATTAAGATTGTGCTAACCTTAAGCAAGTCAGGATTTTAAAGCAGATCTATATAAAAACTCAGGAGTGCACCACAAAATATGATTCTAAATTAGATGAAAGACAGAGAACCAAATAATGTCTGACTGCAGTTCAAATCAATATCCCATTTTCAGCTGTTAATTTCCTAGTAATTGTGTTTTATTTTCCTCCACATGTGTTCTATTGAAAATGCCAGCCACACTGGGGTAGTGAAAGGGTGGAGAAGACTTATTACCTATTAACATGCAGATTTTATGACAAAGGCCAATCCCTACTTCCTTAGGATTTATTTTGCAATGACATTTAGGATGTCTTCTTTTCCCATTATGGCAGATCAGAAGTAAGAATTAAGAACAGTAAGTATTCATTTTACTACAAACCGTAACTTCACATGTAGACCTTTATAGATGATAAGATAAAAACCCCAACATGTATCATTTAAACTTAGCAGAAGGTGCCATAGCTTATTTAGAATAATCTCACTGATGGGAGAAGTTAATTATTGAGGAAATAAGCCGCAGATGCACATCATAAACATCAGGTGAAAAACAGTTCACCAACCAAGTGCCATATCTTCAGAAATAAATTCTATTTAATTTTAAATACCTAAGCCCCCATGTATATAGCCATGAAAACTTCAATAGGGACTATTTACATGACTATGTTTGCATAAAATCTATAGGTAAAGGGTCTCAGGTGCAGATTTACCATGGGAGGAAGGGAGGTGCTGTAGTTTTCCCAGCCAGGTTGCTGGGCATGGCACAAGAAAGCTGAAGCTGTGATGTGGGTGCATGGATACATATCCAAGCATGCGTTCCTATTACTGTTAAGAAATCACATCTTACAACAATCTGACTGTGTTTTAAAGACACATATACGAGTACAGTACAATCATAATCTAAAAAAAAACCAACCAAAACCTACATAAATTTCTGCAAGTTTAATTCCATAATGAATAGATATTCTTAAATGACAGTAGCAACTTCTTTACTGGTAATAAATATTGATAATGTAATTTTAAAATTTAACTTTAGTATTTCAAAATAAAATAGGTACTAGTAGCAAGTAACATTCTCTATTTTGTAACACTCTCAGGGAGCCCTAATTAGAAATAACTTTCCCATTTTTCTTTAAATACAGCTAGCAGTTTCTCGACATCATGTGAGAAACTGTAACGGCTGATTAGCATTTGAAGTCTGTCACATACCAACTGTTATAGTAAAAGGAAATCAATCTAACAAAATGAAACATGACAGATGAAAAGAGGTGAGGCGGAGAGAGAAAAGGTCAGTTACTGTGAAACTGATAATGCTAATGAACTAGTCAGTGGTAACCATCCTTATCATTTCTATTGATTATTCTTCAGACTGTCACAGTGATGTCAAACCATAGAAAAGAGCATATATACCATAATTTCATTGATTAAATCCAGTAGGCGAAAATTCTTATCTGAAATAACTTAACTTTAACAACTAGCAAAAAATTAATCAGTCCTCTCTGGATTACAAGCCACATCAGCGCTGGTAGACAGACTGGAAATTTCTGATACTTTTAGATTCTTAGCTTGTTCTCTCTTTCTTTCTGCCTTTCTGTTTCATGTTCAAATGT